CTGTGGTTTCTAATTTCCTAATTAGATACTGACTGGCCCAGTGATCTTCTGTCTTTCTTTTTCTTCCTGTCTTTCATTTGATTGATTTAGAAAGTGCCTGATTAGCTTGCCTTATTTCACACATGCATACATACATACTCATTCACTTCAGGTGCCACCTCCTGTTTTAAAGAAACAGACTCAGATTTCTATGGTCTGGAACAAATAGATCATGCGGTTTGATTCTGAAGGGAATTTATTATCTAATGTGTTTTTTCTCAACTGGGGGATATTTTTTCTCACTCCTGCTTCCAGGGGTAATGTGTGGGGGCATCTTTTATTGTTACAAGAGGAAAGGAGATGTTACTAGCATCTAGTGAGTAGAGGCGGGGTTGCTGCTAAACATCCTACAGATGCATAAGACAGCCCTCCTACAAAAAAAGAATTATCCAGCCCAGAGTGTCAATAATACTGCTATTGAGAAACTGATCTAATGATATAAAACCCAACATTTTCACACTGCTGGATGCTTCCTGTAGCTTTTGAACTACTACAGGTCACAGAAAGATTTCTTAGGATTTAAAGCTGTTGATGGTGATCACATTGTTAAGATCTTGCCCATAGTCATTAATTTCTGTACACAATTCTAATTAATTCATTTGCATAAACTTGAGTTTCACTACAGGCTTCTTTGTTGACATGCACACAATTAAAACTCCTGGGAAGAGAAAGAAGTAAAAGATATTTAAAGATACCTTGAATTTTCAGCTAGGGATCTCTGTGTTAATTTCTTTTAAAATCCTACTGCTTGATTTTCCCAGCCTGTGGACCAAATGATAGACTTTTCATAATATGCTTTTTTACAAAATGCAGTCCAGTTCTATATGTTTTACTAGAATATCTATAAGATTTTCCTTCACAAGCTGGAAACTGGCTAACTGGCCCTTGACTGCATTTTCTTTCCCTGCTATGTTAAACCATCTGTGTTCATCTCCAGAATGCTGTCCCAATGACTGAGGTCTGGAGGTTGGATCCTCCTCAGCCATCCACTACCAGCTGGGATGCCTCTGATGACTACTTTACCAATAAAGATATCACTTTCCTCATGGGCTAAATGGGGAAGTTGAGTTAGTTAAAAGCTCTTTTCTTGTCTTAAAAGTTACTACAATTATATACATATATACACACATATGTATTCAATGCTTAAGTAGCATTTTAATATATTATCTCTTTAGGGGGTAATATTTATACAAATGCAAAAGAAGTTTATATCCACACCCAGTTTGTTAAATAATCAGGCCCTAATAAACAGAAGGATAGCACAGAATGTTGTTAGACGCAGACTCCATCTTCCCAATCCTGTCAAAAGATGTATCAAATTGTCTCTGAAAATTGAGAAAGGACAAATTGGTCACAAAAGACCCGAATCACTGTTACTCTCTTTCTGACAACTTAGAGTGAGAATGGACTTTTGTCACATTACAGAGAATGAGCTATAAAAAACACAGACTTCTGCATTTACCTAAGGATTTTTTTTCTCTGTCCACTGAGAGGAAACAAAAAATATATATAAATCGAATCGCATTCCTAAAGGAACAGCGAAAGAGGTATGGGTGACTATGCTCTCACACATATAAAAAAGAAGCTAGATTTCTTTAAGATTAGCTTTCCCTTGGAAGAAAAGTCTCAGAGAAGCCTTCCCTTTACTGGTTGAAGCTTCTGAAAACAGCTGCTGACAGATGCCTCAGAGCTCGCTCAGCTACAGTCCATAGGTAACCACCCGCCTTGATGCTTCCACCATCTCCACTCCCTACCTTCTGTGGGTCTTGTCTGTTTGTCTAGTTTGGTAATAATCTCAGTGGCTAGAGATTATATCTGAATTCTCCTTGCAGCCTCCACTACATACCTATTCTCCTTAAATGTTAAACTGTAAACTAGTTAAAGGTGAAACTCTAACCCTTTTTGAAAAATTGCGGCAAATTTTATTCCCAAGATATTTTTGCTTCCAAATCAATCTTTCCCTCTCAGTGCAGCTCTGTGAGCTGTGGTAGGGAGGAGTTAGAACCAGTGTCTAAGCAATTGGAGATCCTGAGGTGATTCAAAGAAGAGAAAAAGAAAAAAAGGGAAGAAAAGTGTTAAATTTTTTGTAGTATGTCAATGAGATCATTTGGTCCCTATAGCCTGAAAAAAGTCTAAGACACATTTTCCTCCCTGACTCTTCTTTCTTTTCCCTCTCCTTCTCCTTCACCAATCTACTCCATCTCTAAAGATGAAGGTTAATATTAAGCATCACATTAATGGTTGTCAAATCAATCATGATTTCCTCTGAGTTATGTTACGCAGAAGCAACATGCTTTATCAGAAATCAAAGAAAGGACAGTGCCAAAAGTGGATGAGCTAATGTAAAATCACTTACATGGGCACTCTGGAGACGGAAACCCGTTTAATATTTAATGTAGTCATTAACCTAAGAATGGGAAGGAGAGGGTAATGGATGGTCTACTCCCTTTGCCTAGGGGACAGGGTACTGAAGTGAACCGTCCCTTCTGGGATCAGATTCACACATGTCTAAAATCCATAAAGTGGGTCACAGGTGAAGGGAATTGGAAAATTCTCCAAATTCCCAGACGTATTGTTCTAAGAGGACAGTTGTACTCAGCAGACAAGCCTGAAGTTCACCAAGCTGCAGGAACCAGCAGCCACATCAACTAGTTTGTTATGGAAACAGACATGCTGTTCCCAACACATATGGTCAAACTGTACCAAATAATCAATTATTTAAGGAAACTATCTCCAAGAAGCATTAATCCATCAGGATATTGAAGGGTTTGTTTTTGTCTCTATTTAGATTTGGTTATCATAGAAGGAATTGTCTACTTTGACAGCTACCCAGAGTTATCCCTGAGAGGCAGAATGTCAAAACCAATTTAGAATGAAAAGGGGGAAAAATACAGGCAAAGTCTATAATAGTGAAGGCCATCTGAGAAAGAATGTTTTTTACATGTGATATTATGATATTATGTAGGGAACATTCTATTTACGCATCACAAATGTCTACATATTCTCTACATGCCCTTTTAAACAAGTTTATTCTAAGCAAACAATGCTGCTACAATCGCTTTGCTTAAGCTGCAGCATTATTTCATGATATGATACAACACACACTAAATCCACATTTATCATTTCATTTAATTGTATTTTTTTCACATGTTATCTTTTTTGGTATAAATTTCCCGAGGTCTCCAAGAATCCAAGCTCACCAAGGAAGTCAATTATGATATTTTCATAATCTCTACCAACTCAGCAACTATTCACTTTTTTTCTTTTGCACCGCAAGTTTAAATCTAAATCCTTTGACCCTCGGGAATTTTTTAAATATTCCTTTCTAAAAATAAGTGATTTCTGAATCTAGGCAGAAGCTCTAGATAGGCTGTATATCAAAGACTTGATCAGTCAAACACCTCCATAAACAGTGCCAAGACTACCTGGCCAGGTATAGTAACTGTCCAGGTACTTATGCCTACAAAATATTTTTAAATTAGGGACAATATTTCCATATAGTTTTTTTAAACTAAACTTGTTCAAATAACATTTTGCTTCATCAAAGTCAGTTTAGTTGAGAATACCAAGTGTGGCAATAAACAACAATTATAATCTACTTCCAGCTGAAATCAGCAAATATCTTAAAGAAAAAAAAAATTTGGTGCTCGTTCATCTGGATTATCTGAAAGAAGTAAACTTTATCAGAGCTTATAATTCCAAATAAAGCCTTCAATTAAAAATAGAATATGGATAGTTCTATAAAAACTCCTTGATAGAATTCACTCTTGCCTCACCTGAAAGTTTCTCCAGAGGAACATAAGAAATGACACAGCAATAAGACTCCCATTTACCAAAAGTCCTCTTTAAAATATTTATCAATGAGATTTTACTTACTTCCCTTTCCCTCTCCTCTCTGAACAACTCAGATCACAGTTCAAAATAAGAAGTGAAAGGGCACCTAGAAGAAAGAAAAACTCACTTCATTCCATTCATTTCATTACCACAGGCTTTAAAATGTTTCATAGCCATTAACCTAGATTTCCACTTCTAGGAACTTATGCGCAAAAAACCATCAAGAATGCTCAACGTTATCTGTAAAAAGATGTTTATTACAGTACTGTTTATAGTGAAGAAAAACTTGAAGCCAAATAAATACTCAATAACAAGTACCTGCTTAAATGATGTAATAGAGATAAAATATGAGGCCAATAAAATATATAAAAAGAATATGTGACGTCGTGTTACAGAAACTATTGTCTGAGCCTAGAACATTCTTCAGATAAACTCCTCACCATTGTTCCTCACTCAAAGCATTTGTGACCTGGCCACTTGATTCAAACCACAGAACTCCAGAGAGATAAAGTGAAAGGCAGCAGTGACGTCAGACAGTGATTGCAAGATGGGTACTACACCAAATTGACTGGAAGTCTACAATAAGAAGCAATTAGACCACCAGAATCCTCCACTTTTCATGTTTATATGACTGCCTCTCTTTCTACCCTACCTGATGACTTGCATTTTCTCTCTGGAGAGAGATTCTGTGCTAAAGGCACCACCCTCAGCCATAGTCAGGATATACTAAACACTGGTGGATTAAGGAAAGCAAGACATCAAACAGTAAGAAGCCTCATACACCCTGTCAGATAAATGGAGGATTTCTCTCCAAGGAAAAGATCAAACCCAGGAGAAAAGCCACACCAATTCTGATCATCTAGGAAACCACAACAAATGTCTCATTTGGATCACCCATCTTACAGGAAAGTCTAACAATGGGCAGCCCTACCCACATAATTATACAAATCAGCTTCTCAGCACTATAATCTTAAAAATAAAGGGATAGCCAAGATCATCAGCAATTTGGAGAAAAAGTTGAACAAGTTTTAAAAAAACACATAGGAAAAAAATCCATAAAAAAAGATAAATTGCAAGGAAGAAAATAAAACTATTTAGGTGAAGGGGAGGAAGGCAGCAAATCACACTGCCATGTGTGTACCTATGCAACAGTCTTGCATGTTCTTCACATGTACCCCAAAACCTAAAATGCAATAAAATAAATAAATAAAACATAGGATGCAAGAATCAGGAATTTCAACACAAGATAGAAGATATTGTTGTGGAAATTCAAGCCAAGAAGAACAGAGAGACCAAGAGACGCAAGAAAATTTTTACTGGAGCTCTGGCTGATGGCGGCCTTACTACCTGTAATGGCCACGAGCCCTACGCAAAGGAAATTCCTTGCTTATATAAGTTTGGCGCAGAAAGACAAGGCAGAAAAAAAACAGGTTTAAACAAAGGCAGTTATTGACTTGTAATAAGTATACAACCTTGAGAATTATACACTTTCTACATGGTATCTTGCTCCCATAACTGGCAGCTGGTCTTTTTACAGAAATACGTTTATGAGCTGCTGGTACAAAGATGTGCTTTGGTGTCTCATCTCAGAAGGAGGAGGCTATGCTGAGTCTGCTTTAGCTAACTGCAGTCAATGTAGGCTGGGAGAGGTGTTTTACTTGCTTCTCTGCTCTTTAGAGCTTTCTTTTTTTTAATTAATGTTTATTCTGAATTTTATTTTTCCTCCTCAATATGAGAGTCCCACAAGATAACAGAGGGACATTCCCATGTGGCACCTGTGTTGCAAGCCTCAATAGAAACCAATCCAACCTGGAACAAGAGTAAAACCAACCTGGAACAAGAGTAAAAAAAAAAATCTCTGAAAGAATATTAGAAAAAAAAGAAATTATCATCTGGATAATTGGCGATATTGTAGGGACCTTCAGTTCTACCACAGAGTTTGAGGATGAAATGGTGATACACAGAAAACCAAACTTAGCATTCATGTGGAAGGAAATTATTGACTCCTGGAAAAACAAAAATGTTGTGCAATATAGTAAATGTAACCCTAGTGTAATACATGGCTCAGCTAAAAAATAGTTTATGTTGCCATAATAAACTAAAGAATTTATTATGTAATTCTACTGAGTATGAAATAAGCTAAATCCTTATCTTCCATAAGGTAGGGTACAGAAGAACAGGTGAGAAACTAACTACTTTTACATAATATGTTTTGTGGAACTATTTGGCCTTTAGGTTCGGTACATAAATAACTATAATATAATTACAAATTTAATTCATTTAAAAATATATATACATCTTTCTTCAATTATTCAGAGACTACCTTATGAGATAACAAACATATATTGAAAGACAAGTGCTATGTCATGCTAGTAATGCAAAGATAATAATCCTGAGTGACCCATCTTTGCCCCTTAATAGTTGTTTGAATTTGGGTACTTAGTCTAACCCTGTATGTGCCTCAGTTACTGCATCAGAAAAGGAGGATTAGGCATAATAATATACACAAATTACTTCCAGCTATAAAAATAACAGTAAGAAGACATGGAATCATAATAACAACTTCAATACAATTTGATCCTTGTTCTTCTAAAATTATAAACCCAATGAATAAGGGCAAAGAGAAAGATCCACTTAAATCCATAGGGATTCAGTTGCCTTCCATGGAAACAAGGCTTTCAGTGAATGTCGGGTCCCAGTAACAACAAACCTGGACTAGATACATTTCCAAGTTTTCTTCCAACTCTCTAACCCTGCGAATATACTATGGGGATACATCTGAGAAGATGTCAAAACAACTAGTTGCTTTAGACCAGCTGTCCCCATCCTTTCTGGCATCACAGACTGGTTTCATGAAAGGCAGATTTTCCCATGAGATGGTGGTGGTGGTTTGGGGACGACTCAAGTGCATTACATTTATTGTGCACTTTACTTCTAATATTATTGTAATATATAATGAAATAATTATACAACTAACCATAATGTAGAATAAGTGGGAGTCCTGAGTTTATTTTCCTGCAACTAGACGGTCCCATCTGGGAGATGGGAAACAGTGACAGATCATCAGGCATTAGATTCTCATAAGAAGCATGCAACATAGATCCCTTGCATGCATAGTTCACAACAGGATTTGTGCTCCCATGAGAATCTAGTGCTGCAGCTGATCTGACAGGAGGTAGAGCTCAGGCGGCAAGGTGAGCAATGGGGAGCAGATGTAAATACAGATGAAGCTTTGCTCTCTTGCCTGCTGCTCACCACCTGGAGCAGTCTGGTTCTTAACCAGTTCATGACCTTGGAGTTGGGGACCCCTGCTTTAGACAACTCATTGATTTTAAAAGTTACCAACTCTATTTTAGTAATGTGGTTTACATCATTTCTTTATTTATTTTGAACTTACTTCTGTGTAAAAGACACAAACTGTGCTAGAACCTCAAATGAATTTCAAGAAAGACAAAACAGAGACTGCCCTTGAGGACTTTACTAAAAATTAGAGTGTGTTAAAACTATTTATGGACAAGATTAATAAGTATGAGAGCTACCCTGTGATCATTTAGAAAATAACCTGGATTCTTAAATATTAATAACAAGGAGGTGAGAAGAATGGTTGCAAGAATTGTTTCTGTCTTGACTATGAAGTCTTAAATAAAGCTAACCCCAAATCACTGAAATATCTGTCACATGGGAGAAAAAAAACACATTTTGCATGTGTGGTAGAGCACCAAACAAGGAGCAATGGGCTGGCAGTTGGAGAGGGGGAGAATACAGGAGAGGAACTTGGCTCATAATAAGAATGCATACATACAAAATTGGCTGCTCTGTGAAGAAATGAAGACCACCATACTGAAAGCATTAAGTAAAGCCCAAAGAACACTTTCCAAAATGTTATAGAGGGAATTCTTGCCTAGGATGTGAAGCTGCAGACTAAGTGAACTCGAAGTTTCCCACCTTCTCTAGAATTCCATTTCTGTTAGAGACCATCAGCACAGCCAAAATTCAAAGAGGAGGACAATTCCATCAAATGGTCGAGCCAACAGAAAAAACAATCATGCCAGTTATAGCCGCATTATAAGAGAATAAAAAAGAGGAAAGGAATCAAACAAGCATACCGGCACATACTCACACTGTTAGGATATTTCCTTTTACACCTAATTGTTTTAGGATTGTGCCAATGCAGCCATATTAAATTATAGTATTAATAGGTTGTCTTTTTACCGCAAGTAAAATAGCCAAGAAAAGATGTGTTATCTAAAACTATTAGACTGGAATGCTGGTTAAAGATATTGAACTGCAGAAAGATGATCCACCTACAGAATCAATAACAGCATTTCAGTTAGGACCTTGAGGGTGTTTGCCGGCCTTATTGACTGTGGCCAGTTCCATTCTGTTTAACCTGTGACAGCTGATGAGACTAGACTCTGGGGTGGAATTACTACCAAAATTCATCAGTGATGCTTATTGAGCAGTTGCCTGTGAGACCTTGGAAAAATCTTAATGCCAAGCTATTCAGATGAAGGAATTAGTAAATATATTACTTTTACATCTTCTAAACTTGTGCTCTTTCCTGAGAAACTCTATAACATCTAACCCTAAAAACAGTGCACAAAGATGGGGAACATTATATTGAAATTACTTTAGAGCCCTAAAAATTGTCATTACATTTAGCCAATAAATTTAAAGAGCTGTTAAGTGGAGGAAACTTCATAATTACAGATCTTATCCAGTTATGATGTGTAGTATGTATCCATGGGGAAAGTGATTTTAATCAACAGAAATATTTGTGAAATAATCATTTAAAATTAATTTAGAATAGTAAAACTGGTAAATCATAGCATTAAATGAATGTGCAAGAAATTATAACTTTTCATTTATAGTATGAATAGTTTATGATAATATTACAGTGCAATATGCCACATTTAATAGCAGTATACTTGAGAATGAAACCTGGATTACCAAGTCCTGCTCAGCCGTAGAGACCCCCACGGGTGGCACTGAAAGCATTAAGAAGCAGACACCCAGAGAGAACAGTAAAGTGGGACTATCCGAGGACCAGCAGTCTTCTGAGCTGAGAGCCTCGGGGGGTTGACAGAATTCTGGGTTGAGAGCCTCAAGCAGACTCCGACCCACGTGTTTATTCTCTCTGAACACGTGATTATTAACAAACAGGTGTTCTGTGTTTTCTCATAGAACCAAGATAACGTAGGTAGGCAACAGCTGGTGCCTGCTTACCACTGATCACAAACTAAAAAGTATTCTCCACGAGGGATTCATGGGGGCAGGGTCACATATCCCATGCTTAAAGAATTGTTTTCACCGGTGTATGATATACATATACTGTTTTGCTGCTTAGAATGCCCCAAGTAGTTTTCCATTTGGGGTAGGTGGCCAGCTAGGTTTTCCTTGCTGCCGTTCTTAGCATACAATATATTTTATCATACACTCAGCATTTCTCAACACTGGATATCAGACTACAGTTGCTGTTAATGAGACTTGAATAATACTATTGAACTCATTTTTGAAACTGATGGTGCCTCTGAATGTTGTTAAGACAGCCAAAGTCTGCGTGCCTAGCTTTCACAATATTTTAGCATCTTGATCAGCTCCTGGACCAAGGATCCTATGGTTAATTTATTTACAGCATGATCTATTCACTCAATGTTACAGGAAAAACATGGCAGTACCAAAATTCTTGCTTTGCAAAAAACAGCATATTCAGGTAGAATAAGTTTAAAATGATAGAAAATATTTCATTTGCCCCTTTGCACTCACTTAAAATATCACCAAAGTTACCTTAAACTCAACAGACCACAAAACATTCCTTTTAAGAAAGAAAGTTTCTAAAATAAAGAATCTTAATTATTTATCAAAAGAATTAAGTTAGCTCTTGGTTAATAACCTGTTCTTGTCTTGTTTATGTAAAGAGGATGTAGCAAGGTTTTTATTGTCTTTGAAGAAAGCTTATTCCACTCTCCCTGCCTGCTTTTACCACTGAACTAGAAATAAGCATGTAGTTTTTAATAATTTTCTCTATATGTGAACATATAAATGTGAACATATAAATGGTTTTTTTATTGACAATTTGACTATAATATCATTTGATTACCAACTGGTTTCTCTGGCAGTATAATTATTTTTCTAATTC